GTTGACGCCGGGGCCCTGGCCAGGGTTCCCTCATGCGGGTCTCTGTGCAGTGCAGTGTTGCGTTTCGTCCTCGGAACAGGTCCTGGGGGTTGCGCTTTACTCGCCCACGTGAGTGGGAACCAGGCGGGGAGTGGCTTGGCGACCTCCGTCTCCCTCCCTGCACAGTCGGCTCGGTGCCCAGCGGCCCCTGTGCACGCAGCACAGTGCTGCTCAGGGAAAGCAGGGCTAGAGACAGAGGTGAGGCCCACCGGACGACGCCTGTAACACAGGCTGATGGTGCGGCCGAAGGAAAGCTGGCCCAGGCGCAGCCAGGGGAGTGGCCTTCCGCCCTCGTCCTTGCTTCTTTCTACGGTAGACGGCGTCCTGGGCTGTCCTCCGGGGAGGATGAGCTGCTAAGGGCCGGTTCCCGGGCGTGGGAGTGCGCGAGCCTACGAGAGAGAGGGCGCTAATTAATTCTTCGGACTCCTTTTCCTGTCACTTGAGGGCGCTCGTGTCCCGCCGACCTGGCTCCTGCCAAACTGGATTTCGGAATAGATAAAGGACTGCACTGTTGTTTCTGGCCAACCCCGCCCTTCAGGCTCGGTACCACGACCAAGCTCCAGGTTCACCCTGCTATCCCGAGCTGGAGGCTGGGGCTGCGTGTGAACCACCGCCTGCAGGCCCATCCACTGGTACAGCTACTGGGGAAACACTGCACCATAGCGCCTGGCCTGGGACACACAGCTGCCTGGCCAGCAGCAATCAGCGGAGTACCCTGGGTCCAGATCAGCTCTCCCCGGTCCATCCCCAGCCCCCCTGCCTGAATCCAAGTCACCTTTTAAAGCTGATTATTGGGGTCTGCCAGACAGCACCAGGGTATTTGAAAAAAATCCTCGAATGTGGCGCTAGGTTAGGAAAAGTTCTTATCTAATAGTTACACCTTTTTTATCTGGGGGTAAAAAAATTAAACACAGACACTTTCTGGTGGCAACTTTATCTTGAAAAATCCTCTCTGAAAAATCTCCCCTGCTCTTTTTCAGTTTCTTAATTAGCTCTGTACCTCCTCCCAATGCTCTGTTCAATAGCTTCTCCCGAATTAGTTCTACATCCTTCTTTTTGCTCTCTCTTCTCTCTTTCTGCCCCGCCTTTTCTGCTATCTTTCTTCCTCAGCATCGCTGCTGCTGTCTGCTGTCTCTGGTCTTCTACCTCTCACTCTGCCTTCTCACGGTCCTTCTCTGTCTTCTGCTTCTTCTGTGCTGTCTTTTCCTACTCATAGCCAAACTCTGGACAATTACAGGTTTTTTTACAGGGCCCTACCCAAACTCAAAACCTAAGTTAAGTCACATAGTTTCTCTCAGGCTGGAAGTGTCACAATGACCCATGAACGAAAATCTAAGTCGGTGAGGGTTCCCAGACAGAAAATAACATTGGAAATCAAGACTTAACAATAACAGTTAGCTTGACCTTGAGACTGGGATTAAGTGCAGACTAAAGTTGGTTCAAGCTCTGACTTTCAGTCAGTAAACAACACCTGGGGAAATGACCTTGTGTATTTGTCTCTAGGGGCAACCAGACATTGTCTGCAGGGGCAACCACACTGCTTTGAATTTTTTCTGAAGTCTGAAGTTAGTTGTCTTTGTAACTAAGAAAATTGTGTCAGTCTGAGTATGTAAAACATCCTAGTACTGTTTCTGTCAATCAATATTACACAATTTAAGTAGAAAATCATCTTCTGACCATCCATAGCTATGTGTGTGCCCAAGTATAAAACACACCACCAAAGGACCTGTGAAAAGAATTCCACAGCTGTTCTTATTAGGGAGGCATAGCTGTGTTACCTGAGAAAATTATGGACAGAAAACAACCAGTCATTCACAATCAATAATCCCATGGCCATTTGCCCCCATTTGCCAAGTGGGGTCCCTAATTACACCTGGTGAGTCAGCTTTGCCAACAATGGACTCTCCAACAATGTCTGGTGGGTCAGCTTGTTAAATACTAGTTGTCATGACTGTAAGTCCCACTGCCCTCTGCAACCTCTGTCCGGCTTGTCTCAGCAAGAAGGGCCCCCTTGAGCCTCCCAACCCAGTCTGCTTTTGCCTCAGGTAACTTGGTCAAAGCCTGAGCTTCCCAAGCCTCAGTTTCCCTGTTTCTACAATGAGGAGGTGGGGGTAGGATAGGGTGCTTCTGAACTAAGAGTAAAGCAAGAGGAAGGAATTGCCTGCTGGAAGCTTGTAGCTAGAGCTCATAGATTCCCAGGGCTGGGAGGAAAAGAGGCTCGTGGCCCGATAGGGTGTTTGCTTTGTGAAGGGCACGTACCCAAGCTCAGGGCTGGCACAGAAACGCTCAGCACTTCTGAGGCCCAGGACTGAACTTGCAGGGCAGAGTCCTAAGCCTGGCTCTGCGTGCTTGGCCAGCTGCTCTAGGCAATGGGGCAGGGAAGTGGTCCCCTCTCCTTCACACCTTCCTGGGGAGGGAGGGTTTGCTGAGCATCAAGGACTAAGTCCTACCAACCACCTTGGTCAACTTGCAAAAAATGCAGAGCCACTTCCCAGCAGTTCCCTGAAGTGTGGCACTCAGAGGAGAGCTGAGAAAGGGCGGGTTTGGGTGTCATTTTGCTGTGCTGGTGTACTGATGCTGCGGATTCTGTGGACCCGGGGTAATTAGGAAGGGGCCCAGCGCTGTGGACTCAGAGAGGAAGTCTGGGTAGGTGTTACTTCTGTCCTAGTGACCTTGGCTTCTGACTGTGTCTTCTGTGCTGCTTGTGGTCAGGTTATCTCCATAACTGGGATGTTCCTGCAACCTGGGGTCCTCCACCAACAGTTGGCTCCTGAGACTGAGCCAACCCCACACATCTACACTCCAGGGGAGCAGGGGTTAGCAGCTGTTCCAGGGTGTGTGTCCCTGCCTATCCTGTGAGAAACCCGTTGGTAGCACCCAGGGTGGTTCAGAGGAAGTGGGCCAGGGGAAGAACCATGTCACAATTTCAGTGAAGTGCTGAGTGCTGAGGACACAGGGAACCTGGGAGTCCCCCAGCAGAGAGCCCTGATACCCTTGCCCTCAAGGGTCGATTGCAGGGCTGGGCCCATCCTTCCAACTCTTTCTCTTCCCATTGGGTCAGCCCACTGAGTAGGTAGGGCTGGTTTCCAGGGCCTGAGTGCTTCAATGAAGTTGATTTATAACAACCCCCTTACTTATTATAAAATGAATACACAGTTATCATAAACAAATTGAAAAAGAGTCAGCTAAAAAGTTGACATTTCTTGGATCCTATAACCCAGATAATCCTCCGGGAGCCCTGGCTGGCTCCTCGATGCAGAGTCAAATGCCACCACCACTGCTGCTATCTTTAGGTCTTGACAACTAGTCAACACTGCCATTGTTCTTATTCTGTTTCTGAGCCCTAAGCTGGCCCAGCCAGAGAGACCACTACCACCAATCTGTTTACTTGTTGGTTTTTGTTTGTTTTTGTTGTTTGTTTTTGGATTGTTTGAGACAAGAGTCTCTCTGTGTAGCCCTGGAACACACTATATGGACCAGGCTGGCTTTGAACTCAGAGATCCACCTGTCTCTGCCTCCAGAGTGCTGGGATTAAAGGCATGCGCCACCACACCCAGCTCACCTACTGTTCTTTATGCCCTATTTCAAGGGGGCCTGTTGGTCAGTCCCTCTTCTACTGCCTAACACTACCCAGAGGCATGAAAGGAAACACATCGAAGTGGGGGTGGAATTCACTGATGAAAGGTGTGGCGGGCCGGGGATAGGCTCAGGGGCAATACCCGTGAGTTCAGAGACATGAACTAGATTTGACAGAAGCCTAGAGCAGGGCATGGTGCGAGCATGGGCTGAATTCCATCGGCCTCCCTGGTGTCCAGAGCAGGGATGATGTGAAGAACAGTCTCTCTATGATGTTCATTGTACCATCTCCCAAGCTGACCCTTCTTTGGAGACAGTGAGGGACGATGCCTCCCTGGTCAAAGCCTCCAGACTCCAGGTCTCCCCTCACATTGCCCTCATCTTGCCCTCTTCTCTTGGGGAAGGCCAAGATCTGACCACTCCACACTCCCAGAGAGAAGGGTAGAATAATTTGATTCCTTCCATTACAGTTAAAGAGGCTCACACAGAATCCGAAAAATTAGAAAGAAATGTCTGTGTAAGTTCAGACAAAACCTAACAAATGACCCAGGGGGCTAGTGATGGCACAGATTAAAAGAGAAGCAGCTAGACCAACATAATTCCTTCCTACATTCTCTCTTTTTTTTAATTGGTTTTTGCGAGACAGGGTTTCCTTGTGTATCTTTGGAGCCTGTCCTGGAAGTAGCTCTTGTAGACTAGGCTAGTCTCGAACTCACAGAGATCTGCCTGCCTCTGCCTCTGCCTCTGCGCCTCTGCCTCTGCCTCTGCCTCCCCAGTTCTGGGGGTAAAAGGGGGGACCACCCCCTCCCCCCCCCCCCCCCCCCCCCCTCCCCCCCTGCCTCTCCCTCTCCCTCTGCCCCTCTGCCTCTGCCTCTCTGCCTCTCTCCCTCTCTGCCTCTCTGCCTCTCGCCCTCTCTGCCTCTCTGCCTCTCGCCCTCTCTGCCTCTCTGCCTCTCGCCCTCTCTGCCTCTCTGCCTCTCGCCCTCTCTGCCTCTCTGCCTCTCGCCCTCTCTGCCTCTCTGCCTCTCGCCCTCTCTGCCTCTCTGCCTCTCGCCCTCTCTGCCTCTCTGCCTCTCGCCCTCTCTGCCTCTCTGCCTCTCGCCCTCTCTGCCTCTCTGCCTCTCGCCCTCTCTGCCTCTCTGCCTCTCGCCCTCTCTGCCTCTCTGCCTCTCGCCCTCTCTGCCTCTCTGCCTCTCGCCCTCTCTGCCTCTCTGCCTCTCGCCCTCTCTGCCTCTCTGCCTCTCGCCCTCTCTGCCTCTCTGCCTCTCGCCCTCTCTGCCTCTCTGCCTCTCGCCCTCTCTGCCTCTCTGCCTCTCGCCCTCTCTGCCTCTCTGCCTCTCGCCCTCTCTGCCTCTCTGCCTCTCTCTCTCTGCCTCTGCCTCTGCCTCCCAAGTGCTGGGATTAAAGGTGTGTACCACCACCTCCCAGCCCTCCTTCCTACACTCTAAAACTTACCTTATACCCACAAATAAGTGTGGGTATACCCTTATACCCTTCACCAAAGAATCTTCTCTTTACATATACATTTATCTATATCTGTGCATATATACATATATAAAGCAATAATAAAAAGAGGCTATCAGTTTAAGAGGGAAGATGAGGAATAGCATGGCAGGGATTGGGGGAAGGAAATGATGCAATTATTTTAATTTAAAATATATTACACAAAGAGTAATGATTTTGTTAAAGTTCAGATGAAGACTCCCCACTCCACAAACAAAAATCAAAGGTGATTTCATCAGACTCCACAATGGCTGATCACTAGAGCTGAATTTCATCTGTGCA